GTGACTTCTGTTCATCATTCTCATCCTAAATTTACCACTGTCGGTAGTTTCAAGAATTAACGCAGTCATTTACTAAATATTCTTTGTAAAAAAATAAAATTTAAATCAATTATTTATAGGAGATAAGTATTATGATCAGTAAATATACACATATGCATTACTGACACCTCCGAACACAAGGACGGCTAAAAATAGCCACAGGCGGTCACAGTCAAGGTCACTTTCCCTTTCTTGTCACTGGCAAATGGGGGTGGGGGGGGGATGATGATAGCTGCTGTGTTTATTACCGGGGTATATTGTTCTTTTACGGTATGTTAGACTGGTTTATAATACATTTTTATATTTTAATATACCGGTAATCTTCATTTTAATCCAGCTTCCAAAACGTAAGTTTCAGTATAAAATAATTAGTGGTAGGACCTTGTGAGTGGTTTACCATGTTTCCATCACCACTCTTGACACGCTAAACCGCAATATTTAAGAGGTAAGAATTTTATCGCTGGTGCTTAAGACGACCCCCTAACTTTGGGCTGATTTGTTTTTTTTCAAATTCCGTCTTGTAGGCCGAGATATACGGTAAGGCATATGTTATGATTTCTCCAATGCATATGCTCTTAAAATTCCAGACACTGATTTTTTATTCTGGTCTATGAATAATTTGGGGATTATACGGAAAGTCTCCAAATTTTCCTGTTCCGAGTCTGGGAACCAATTCCGAGGTTAGGTTAGGTAGCAAATTCCAGAATCTTCCCAGGAACTGGAAAAATTCCCCAGCAATCATGATACCAAGATTTATTTCTTCAGTATTGGTGAAAGGTGAATAGTCAGCTTTATCTCCACCTGTAAGTGAAAATAAAGGTATTAATATTGTGTTAGCTAAATTTGCAAATTCTGAAACATCTTTATTTATGAGGGGTTAATATTTATAAGTTTCCAACACCTACATATTGTGGGTAATTTTGTCTGTTAATAAAAAAAAAAATTCCAATTGAAACTCAGATTTGTTTGGCTTGACATGGAACACACTAAAAAAAAAAATTTTTTTTTCCTAATGCAGATTTTTATTGTGATTCCAAAACTTTGATCCTTTTTTGGGGGAGAAATTCATTGAAAAAAAAAGAAAGGCCCTTTAAAATTTTAATGTTCTACATCAAAATGTTAACATAACCTACCTAACTTAACCTAACTGGAAAACATCAGTCAACTTAAATCCTAAAATTCCCTGGATGACAGAAAAGATAATACCATCAATTTCATTTATTTTGGAAGACATATTTAAATTTTTTTGGAATCATGGACATACAAAGCCAATATATCTCACTTGATTCTACTGTACCACTGTCAATGGCAAAGTGAATTATTAACACCACTCCAAATGGTGCACAAAAGGTGGTAAGGTGGTTCTTTCTTTCAATACATTGAGTCACTTACGGAATTAAAAAAAAAACAGTAACAAATTGTGGTTAAACTGATACACAAATGAAACATGCCTGGGAATTACCTGTTACTGGTTACCTGGCATATTAGGACTCATTAAAATATGAAATTTAGGCACCTAAGTAATCATACTAATGCATTATTTATTTTGGTAGTGTTGGGCAATTATTAATTGCGCTCATTACGAAAATTGGGTTGATATTATTTCTGATAAGGGACGTCATTCACCATCCCAGATGGAGTAGTTCTCACCACTCTTCAAATAGACCATATGTGCCTTTTTTAAGCTTAATTTGATTTCCATACATTCCTACTAATAAATTATTTGGATTAGATATCTTAAAGGCTTACCTTTTATGATGGTTAGGAGAATTTGGAGGATATAAACGGCGATGAGGCAAGTAGAGGCTGGCGGATGTTCCTACACAAACATGGAATTCTTTTAAAAAGAACAATAAAATTCTTCATGTGCTGTTCTATATGGAAGACATCTTAAAAAAAAAATATTAACCCTTTGCAGATTTATACAATTTATGTGCATCCAATTCTATTTTTTCTTTAGGTTTCAAAATATAGTTCCATCATAGCGGTCATCGGGCGGTGGTGCAAGTACCACGGAAATCTCCCACTTTCCAATAACGAATCGTAGATACCGGGTATTTTTTTTTTTTAGCCCAGTGCTTCTTGCAAACCGACCATGGGGCTACCACAGTATGGTGTACACCGCAGATGTTCTTGCAATTGGCCCTAAATTCCAACATTAATGTCAACAAATAGTTTTCAGTGATTAAAAGCCAAATCCCAATAAACGAGCATTTCTGGGCTGTGCTCATTATGTATTTATCAACAATGACAACTGCTGACTCCTTATCAACACAAAGTGAGAATGATTTATAACCATTGCAATACCTGGCCAATCAGCACACAAGCTACTAATGCTGCAATATACAGTATCTAAACCAACTATCTGTGCATACTTTGTGGGAAACAATATGAGATCATGTACGATAAATTTTTGGTATACGAGGGCTGTCACTAGTCACACGTAAAATTTCGGAGCATATCGACCGCCACTAGCACAGAGTTGTTTTAGCTACTGTACAAGTTTTAGTAATTATTATTATAACTAAGCATAAATACATCCTGGACAAGAATGAAGGATTCTTTTATGAATTCATTTGGGATACAGTATGTGCTATCGCCAGCAATTTTTATCTTTCATGAACTGAGTAATACAAGAGAAGTATAAGCCCTGGGCAAGTCATACATGGATAAAACTCCAGTAAGCTTACTACAAGTACAGTACACAATCAGTGTTGTGATTTATTTATTCACTTTCAGTGTTTCATTTTATGTGGAATCATTATTGATAGCACAGTAACAATTATTAATAAAATTTTATTTTATAAGCCATACTGGTGATCCGACAAAAGAGAAAGGCATTCAAGGTGACGGGGAAAATAAAAGTTTAAGATAGTTTCGAAAATCTTAGAAAGGGATGAAGTTAGGGCAATGGGGCAATAGTTAAGAGGGATTGGAATAGTCACCCTTCTTTCGGTTAGGCTGAACCGAGGCATGCTTCCAAGAAGAAGGAAAAGTTTGGGTTTTGAGGCAAAGGCATAAAAGGCGAGCAAGCACAGTGGCCAGAACTTCAGCAAACTCCCTCAGAACACGAGGGAGTATTCCGTCCGGTCCATGTGTCTTACATACATCCAACCTGGATAACACACCAGCAACCCTACGAGTGGAGATTACAGGAAAGTCCTTAGATTCAGTCGGAGGAGGAGTAGGAGGGATAGAGTTAGAATCGTCTAAGGTGGAGTTAGAGAACAATAAGGTGCCAAAGAGATTGGCTTTATCAGGGGGAGAGTTGGCTAAGAGTTATCAGGTTGGAAGAGCAGATGGAAAGAGGTAGTACAGAAGTTATTACAGATGTTTTTGGTGAAGGACCAGAAGGATTTACTAGAAGAAGAGTTTGTCAGGTTAGCAGTCTTTCTTTTTATAAAATTCCGCTTGGTCCTACGAAGAATAACCTTACAAGGATTCCTAGAAGTAATGAAAGAGGAGTGGGTAATAGGAGATAGTTTCATAACTTGATATGCCATATCTCTCTCCCTACATGCAAGAGAACAGGAATGATCAAACAATGTTTAAAATCCCACTATATCATAGTTTAAGTTCTTATATAAATCTAAAATCACTTAATTTAAGACAAAAGAAGCAGAATGACAAAATACAGTAAATGAAAGTAAAAATAAATCATCAGGTAAATAAAATACTGTAAATTTCAAATTTAATCCCGTTCGTATCGGCAGGAGTTCGTAAGTCGGGGACCCCCTGTACATGGGATACAAGAGTAAACATTAAAATACTCAATTTAATATGACAATAAGCTACTAACACTGACATAATTAACAGCACAGATCAAGTATACTCTTAAAGGGATGTCTGGATATTCCATAAACAGTACGTCCTTGAATGTGAATGCTTTGACCTAAGTTGTTTGTATAATATCTGGCTAAAGAGCATGCAAGTCTAGGCTATGATGCTATGGGATGCATAAGTTTAATTGTTTGATTCCTCCACTAGAGGGTTTCCTTCTTAGTATGACACAAGTGATAGTGGTCCCTTCGTGCCCGGTGGCAAGTCCAGTGGTACAGTTTACCAAGGCGTGAAAGTTCGAACGCTCGCACTTGGCTAGCACGCAACCGCCGTCCGGCTGACAGCGTACATTGTTTTTCAGCGTAAATAAAATGGTTATTTAATGCCTTCCTAAAAAAACATCGACATGGGACCAGGTATGTTCCACTTTACGAATTTTTTGCGATTTTTCCACCAAGTTTGATGAAAAACGATTGTGCCGTTTCGGCTGCCCAGAACAGACAGGCAGACAGACAGACACACGGCTATTCCTATAGTATATTACATATAATAGTCTCTTCCAATTCCTAAACTGATATAGGTCTCATAGCTTATTTGTGAAGTTCTATAATCCATACATTAAGGACTGAGGAAAACTTAATGGCTGAAGAAATGACAGAATGACAAGTATTACCATCCTAATCCCTAGACTCCTCAGAGTAAGATCCTAAATTGGCATGGAACAAAGGGAAAGGTTTGGAGTCCCATTTTAGTTCAATTGGGGATTCGTAAAAGTGAACCCAAGTGTTCATATGGTGTTAGTTCATTGTCTAAGGCTGGCTTGACAATGTAAGTCATTTTTCACTGTATTTTATTCCCCCAAAACAAACACAAAAACATGATATATAATCAAGACCAGGTTACAAACAAGATAGAGGACTTTGAAGATTGTTAACTCTGCCTTCTCATTTAATAGTAGATTAGGAAGCTAGAAAGTAATAAAAGAATGCAGGGAGGTCTGCAGGTGATACAAACTTACAACTGACTTCTTACTAGATTAGAATAAGTAGTGTAGCTACTTTTCAATGATAGACATGAATATTTTATACTGTACTTTAAAATATACAGTAATTTTTAAACAACTGGAAATAGTGGGTTCAGCTTGAAAGATATACAGTACACATAATTATCTGTCAGCTTACTTGTTTATCATTGATGGGTGCTTTTCCATCAGGAAGGGGTGGGGGCCGACGGCGTGGGGTCATTGTTCTGATCTGAGTTCCATTTGGCAACAAGAAATATCCTGGGGAAAAAATAAAATAAATAAAAAATAAATAATTTAAGCATAGAATAATGCATCAATCAGTGTGGTTTGAAAAACACCACAGGAAATCATCCTTAAGTTTCTTAACAAAGAAAAAAAATGTAAAAAAGCCAAATACTGTGCAGTACAGGAGGCCCCCCAAATTCGCACATTTTTATTTTGCACTATTATTCGCAGATGACGCTGTGGATGTACCCAAGAATGTCTGTGGGTAGTTTTAAAGTTGCCGGCATTTTCACGGGTGGGACAGGGAGCCATTCGTTCTTGAGACAGTAATTTCCGTTATCTGTATTGTAAATATGTGTGTGTGTGTGTGTGTGTGTGTGTGTAGACACACACAAAACACATACAAATAAATAAAAATGGGAAAATACTCACAAATAATCAGAAACAAATTTACTACAAATGTGACAGTCTATCCTCAAGTCCGTGCTTTATTACTTTTTTAATAAAGCACGGATTTGAGGGTAGACTCACATTTTTAATAAACCTGTTTCTCATTATTTGTGAGTATTTTCCCATTATTATTTATTTGTATGTTTTGTGTGTGTCTACACACACACATATATACAATGCAGCTAAAAGAAATAATAATCCTAACGGCAAACACATAAAGGGAATATACATTTCTTTGTACACAAGTAAAAATGTAACCCCACCCCCTCGTCAGCAAATGGTATTTGCAGATTTGGTGATTCGTGGCCATTTTGAGAACCTAACCCCCCCCGAATTTGGGGGGCCCCTGTACCTGTAAAATGTACAGTATTTAACATTATCAAATACCAACTCTAGGTCCTCATAATGATATGCCTATTCTATATAAAAAAAAAAATAAAAAATAATGGATTAACATTTTTAGCCCACTGTATTACTCATACATAGTACACAAATTATCAAATTCTTTTTCATTTTGAGTGAAAAATTATGTTATCTTCAGACTGAATATCCCTCTCCTACCTCTGAGTGGGTTCAATCAAGAGATATAGAAACCTTAATGAAAGGAGGAAAATTACCTGTGATTGAGGGAGTGTGACAAAAGACAAGAGTAAATGGCAACCCAAAAGGGTAATGACAAGAAGTACAAATACAGTAGAGTACTGTACTGTGTAGGGCTCCACATACACATATACTCATATCCTCATCATTACTTAACCTACACCGAGATCCAAAATGCAGTACTTTATGTCTATTCACTGTACATACTGGTACAGTACCGAAATAAGTTGAGTTGTACGTTTCATTGATGCTAACACTATCACAATTAAAATAAGTCCATGGAGCATATCAAGCAAGAGGAATTATTTAGTACATGTACCATAATAGTACTGTACTGTTATTTAGTTATCGTCCCATCAGGGCCGGCCCTAGGTATAGGTGGACTAGAAGACACCGCCTACGGCCCCAGTCCATCAAGGGGTCCCCTGATGCCTCCTTCAAGAATAAAGTTCAAACGCTCTGAGGCCGAGTGCAAATTTTTCAGTTATCTGCCGTGTTATAAACCCTAAAACAAAAATTTGCACCAAACAAAGCAATATATTATTACTGTTATCTTGTACAGTATAATATAATTAATTCCTGTTTTGCTGTTATAATTTTATTTCCTGAAATTTTTCCTGTACTAAGCACCGGTACACTCCAATCCTTCACAGACACTACTGTCATGGTCACAATAGCGTGGCTAGTCTGTTACTTAATTATTCATATTATGCTACACCACCCACAAAACGTGAAACTGTTGAGTTCCCCAGTTGAGAAGTACGTTCTCTCCCCGCTGCAGGAGGCCTGAGTCCTTTGTTTTCTCTTAAGGATTCCCTCAGAAACTCTGATATTTCTTAATACCTCACATCGTGTTCAGAGATTCGAAATTGAGAGAGAACACAATTATATTGCATTACATGAGATATGTATGAGCACAGATGAAATATTCAAGATTCCTTGTGAGTGATTTTTAATGCTTCAACTGTGTTTACTGTTAATAATATTGGCAAATAAGTCAGTGTAGTCTACTGTAAGAAATGACATATCATGACATCGTCCCTAGGGATACCCCGAGTCTCCAGATTGCCATTGAAATTAGATCATTTTGATTCCCAATCTTCAGAGGATCTGATGTTTGTATTGAAATTGTGATCAGTTTTGTATTTTAGAAAGTAATTACTATTCCTGAGGGGATATGTCAGCCTTCTTATCTTCAAGATCTAACAGCTAGCTCGCAGTGCCTCTCAGTTATAAGCTCCACCCACAATGTACTGCCAATCTGAGTACTTGACATCAGTTTAATTCTTGCCTTTTGAGAACACGGGCACAGTTTAGTTTGAAAAGTTAATCTTAGAAAGTTAATATAAGCTAGTAGCCTAATTTTCACAAAATGATGTGCACAATAAAGGAGTCTGATGATTATATCTGTGAAAGTCCAAATTGGTAACTCAGTGTTGTGAACGTTGAGAGGAAGACAAACTCTCTGACTCTCACACTCACTTAAGCCCCGAATTTTCTGTGAAACAGGCATGTTAGTATTCCGTGTCCCCCAGTCCTATTAAGTGATTTGACTTAATTGTTTTGTTTGAATATGCCAGTGATCCAGTAACATAACTTTGATGCGTTTTGTGTTTAGTAAAGTGTTCAGGCGCAATCAGCTTACTAAAAACGTTATGACATTCGTGTCAACTCTGACTTACACCCCGACTTTTCTGTGAAACAGATACCTGATAGACCAAGAGTGGTTGTTGTATGCTTGGACGACCTCCAACCCTAGTATTGGAGATGGATGAAAACCACTGAGATCGGATAGCGCCATTACCACGGTTGTGGTGAGCTAAGTCATCAGCTCACAGCCAGCCACTCAGAGGAGGTGGCCAGACTGTGTTCGCTGTCCACCCATGATCTCACTTGTGGAGCAAACACAACCAGCTCATAGCATTGTTATGAATGAGTCCACCACTAAGTAGACCTACTTATTGGGTGTATTATTTGTCCGAATATCCATGTATGTAATCTCCTCAGTTGTATGGGTGTATTATTTGTCCGAATATCCATGTATGTAATCTCCTCAGTTGTATGGGTGTATTATTTGTCCGAGTATCCATGTATGTAATCTCCTCAGTTGTATGGGTGTATTATTTGTCCGAGTATCCATGTATGTAATCTCCTCAGTTGTATGGGTGTTTGGAGTCAGCAATATTATGAGGGTCGTCACTTTACTTCTTGTGGTGCTATTGCTAGAGTCCTGTTACTATAAGAGCTACAGTCCTCATGTAACCTGTATTGATGGTGCTCAAATGTGCTATATATACATAAGATTATAGTGTTGTGTGATTTTTAAAGGGTGCACCAAGTAATGGTGTAAGTGGAAAATGTACCTAGTTGAAAGTACAACATGAGTGGAGCTAGGGAATCGATCCTTATAGTTGTTTGTTCCTGAAAGTAGTCATAAGTCTAGCTTCATTATAATAAACCATTTTTGTTGTATGCTGGGGGTATCATTCTCTTATAGTATTCACCTTTGCTTTTCTCACAACTTGGTCCCAGTATTACAGTATACCTCGTGTCTTAACCCTCGAGCCATGCTACCACCATTTGGCCTACCTGCATTAAAGGCTCAAAATGACAGCATTTGCTGGAGAGTACTGTATTGTATAGTACAGTAGCTACAGTAGTAGTACTGTATACATTATGGTATTTTGTTAGTATTTACATATACCCTGTACAGTATTGTACAAGTACTGTACAGTGGTGTTTCCATAAGTAAATATAGCTCTGTGTCTGTCCATGCAAGATGTGTAGTTTAGTCTCAAAAAACTTTCCCAATACAGAAACCCGGAAAAATTCTGAGGATGTGCAATTTTGGGGGGAATGAGAAAATTTGTCTCCATATCTGGAAAACTCTCTCCTGGAACAGCTCTTCACCAATTATTCCAGCTAAAGGGGATATCACCATTTGTATTCTTACTTTGTTATGAGGTACAGTATGAACAAAAACCCCAAGTTAATTTTTTCTTCAATTTTTTTTCACATCATCATATGATACTTAAGTGTTGACACAAGTGTCATTTCCCCTGTAAAGGGCTCGGGGGTGGCTGGGACAATTAACCCCAGGCTCCCATCCTCAAAGTGGCCCCCCTATTTACCAAAAGATAAGAATAGATACATATACAGACTAGAAAGAGATAAACACACACAATTAGCAATGGAAGTTATAGCCTCTATCTTAATCTGGATAAAAATAAATAAATAAAACAGTACAGCATATGATAATACAGTACAATCATGTTGTAATTTAGCATAAATTTAAATAATTCTCATGAGTTATTGTATAAGAAGATTTTATTTCACATACTGAATACTGTATAACTTATAGCACTAGAAGTTATGGTACAATAACAAAATGTTATCCTAGTTCTGACTTATGTCCTGTGCAAAGGTAATTTTTAATAAACCATAAATACAAAAGGCGATACATTTTCTGTAATGCATTTTCCCTTTGTTACACTTTTTTTTTTAACATTATAGCAACGTTCTGAGGCATCACTGTTGTATAAAGGTCAAAATATTTCAAATGTTTATCTTATGTTAATTAATACAGGTACAGTACAGGTATTTCAGTTTTTGGCAACATTTCAAAATGTAATCATTGCTGCATATATTTATTTACAGCATCTTAGTTCAAAATAAGTAGTTTTCCCATACCGGTAGCTAATGAGTGAGAAACTTGAAGGGTGGTAACATGTAGGCTAATACAGTAAAGTGTACTGTTTGCAAATGATATATTGTATATCTGTAATTGTTTTCACCAATTAGGTACAGTAATTCATTTTCATTAAATAACACGGCATTTATGAAAAACTTTTTGATGGAATACCAAATTTAATTTATATTCAATATCCATGAGCAGAAACAGTACAGTACTGTATATCTGTACAGGGCATTCCTTCAATGATTAACACTGAAAGTGCTTAAATGATAGACACTGTACAGTACAG